AAATATGGAATATACAAAACTGAGCTATAGTGCAATTGTCTCTAGTTTATATATACATTTCAAAACTTCAAACCCATCACATGCATGGATCTTTATACCTGATAATAGTTCAACATGAATGTCTATATCAGTAAAGATTTTGAAACCTTTATAAAGGACTTCAAAATTTAATGCATCAAAGTGTACCAATGTTCACAAAGCACTCTCGGTACTGAAAAATTAGAACAAGGAAATCAAAGAAACTTTTATCAGAATAAAGTAATATATTATTATCATCTGTTGTAATGCTTACATTTCCATACAAAATGTTGAAGAAAAAAATTGTCAGATGACGTTTAAGAGGAGCCGAAAAAGCATAAGTACTTAGTTTCCCATCATGCTTTGTGCTAGAGATTCGTGCTTGTGCACATTGGTTATTTCAATGGACCCTTCTCAAAAGTCTTAAATGAATGAAGAAATAGAAAGCGCGTGCTTTGTGGAGTTATAAAGCACGCGGGGGTTGGGAGAACACGAGAGAAGTGTTAGAAGCACGAGACTTCTTGAGTGATCTGCCAATCCCCAAGTGCTTAATGTAACTCCACACACGCAGCAATGAATTTTCTGTTATAAAATAGCAATTACATGAATAACGAAACTGAAAGTAAGCGAGCGTACTGTGTGCTCTCCCAAACAATCAGAACGCGAGATTTAGCTAATTATTTTATACAAAAGAAAAATCATACTTTTTTTCAGTGGAATTTGTGGCACTTCTTTTGTATTTCCATGTTAGCCTCGCATTCAAGACATTTTAAAGCAGGGTGCATTGGACTTTGTTTGAGCAGCCACCTATCCAACAAACCTTTCGCAATTAATTATTTTACAGAAACGTTTAACTAGGATTATATATTTCTGAAAGCAATTTTAAGGTTGATTCTCATACTACTCTTTTATTCAAAGATCTGAATTTGTTAAAGTTTTCTGACATTTGTAGACTACATACAGGCTAGTTCATGTATTCTTACGGGCATAATCTTCTTCCAGTATAAAACATGTTTAAAGTCATGAAAGAAGTTCATGGTTATAACACATGAAGTCAAGATAAATATCATATTCATTTTTGTTGGACCAATATGTACAAAGTAAGAAAGCTTTCTGTAAAATATCAAGGTCCCAAGTTTTATAGTATATGTTACACGAGAATATAAAACACGGTCAATGGCTTATAGCTCTTTTACGGCTAAATACAAAAAACTACCTTATTTCTACCTATTTTGACTAAGTTGTTAGTTATCATTTATAACCATTGGTTTACTCTATAATTTTGTACATCATTCACATTGTAACATAATTTAACTAGCTATAATATAATGGAATACAAGTTAAAATATTAATGTAAATATGCTATCAATGCTATCAAATTTGTAACATAGTAAAGGTTGCTTGTACTAGAATAAGCCACCGGCTTCGTTACGACCATCCTTGTCTTATTTTGATTTTTGTTATTGTATTTAATAAGTTTATTTTCATGACAAAACAAATAAACTCTAAGCCTTGACTTGCTGGCGGTGAGCCTGATATTATTTCATGGTCACTCAAGGAATTCGAACGGTCTCTTAATATTCTCTTTGAAAAATTCAAAGCAATTAACATACATCTTTTAGACAGTATTCTGTCTTTGTCTTAATTGAACTTAGCCCTTCCTAGGGCTGTCTGTCAACCCTTGAGATATTCAAATCTGGAGAATTGATAGGGAAGGGACATGTCATCACAGCGGATGACGTATATACAGTGAACTCTCGTTACAGTGGACACCCTTGGGACCGTCACTTGACGTCCGTAATAGCGAGTGTCCGCAATAGCGAGAATTAATTACGGTCATTTCTTTGTCAATCTTTTTGTTGGGGATTCCTATGGGCTATTGACTCAAACGCCATAAGTGAGTGAGGATTATAATCATTTTAGTCAAATCCAACTGCTTTCAAAGCCGGAACTTTTTGGTACTAGTAGAGTATAACTTAAAGCCTAGTAGTACTTATCTCATCCAATCAGAATGCAGCATTGGTGACAGACCATTAGTTAGATTTGACTAACACTAATAATGCTAACACTATAGTACTAATAATACTTATACTAATAAAACTAATAATTAAAAGTGCACGCAAACCATCATATATCTCCATGAAATAGTAATAACTAATTAGTACAAACTAGAGTGACCACAGTAAATCCGTGAAACTTTGATACTAAATAGCACAATTTCATGCACATTCCATTGTTTTCTATTGTTTAATTAGCACTATATTGTAGTAATTAGTGTTTTACAGATTAACTGTTTGCACTCTAGCATCAATGAAACAATTGAAAACAAATGAAAAAGATGTATTACTGTAATAAGTGCTATTTAGATTTTTTGCTATTTCACTATTATATGGTTTGCACTCTAGTAATAATACTTATACTAATACTAATGCTAAAAATACTAAGTATACGTAATAGGACCCCATGCTGTTCAATTAAGAAATAATTGGACGAGGAAAATTCCGAGGACTGACAAAATTGGATGAGGCCGTAGGCCGAGTCCTATTTGGCAGTCAGAGGAATTTTTCGAGTCTAATTATTTCTTGATTGGGGAGTATGAAATCCCATTACCTATTAATTATATAGCTGCCTAATTAATCCCATATCAACAAGACCTGTCCAATTAAGAAAATAATTGGACAGTTACCTATAGGGATTAATGAGAAGCTGTATAATTACTAATAGCATAATAGGGAACTATTTCTTTGGAGTGCATCATACTATTGTCTCACGTATTTGAATTGCACTATTTACATTTTTGTCATTTTCACCTGTATAATAAGCTTTGATTATTTCAACAACATCTTTTCTCCCCAGTTTATCAAGGATCGTAACAAATTCTGTGAGTGTTAACTCTGGCTTGCAAGATTTAAGGTTTATCAATAGCTGCTCACCCTGATTTGTACCTTGCTTTTGACCAGCAACTTCAATTGCTAGTAAGTCAGTTTGTTTTAATCCTATCTCTTTTCCAATGGCACGCCAGCCTTTGAGAACTTTTGAGGTTAAACTGATAAAGTTTTCAACATCGCTAAGCAGGGCGTCATCAACATCACCGAGACGTAAGTTGTATAGCCACAGGACTGTGGAATATTTAAGAGATTAGGAGTTCATTAACAAGAACATTAATCAGAGGCAATGGGTATAGTACATATGTCAATTAACGAACATTTTTGTTGTACGTAATTAAAATTTTAGAAGGCTTACATCCAATTGAATATCTTAATTTACATAATTTATAGAAATTCCCAATTTTAAAATTACATCAAAAAGGAATTTTCCATCCCAAACTTAAAATATAAGAAAGAATTATTTTCGTATTCAAGCAGTGAGCGCCCGAAAAACTATTTTCTTGAAGAAAGGCTGTTGTACAAGGCTAAAATCTTGTTACCGTATTTTTCATTTCTAATGAACAGGGCGCTTATTCAACGGGAGGAAACGCGTACACAACTGTCGAAGTATGCTTTTTACTCGGGCTTTCAAAGAAATGCGCGAGGTATAAATTGGGCTTATTTGCGTTCTGTCACAAATCGCAGTTGCGTTCAAAKCGCATGCGCAAGTTCTATGCGCATGCGTAGTATGCACCACATAAACACATGGACGAGCAATGGCGGATTTCTTTAAGGATTCGTCGCTGACTATAAAATCATGCTATACGAAATCAGTTATCTCATGTAAACCTACGTAGACATGATCGTGAACCCGGCAGAATACCMGTACAACCTCTGAAAAGTCTGTGAAACAAAAGCTGAAAGAGTTTATCTTCAAACGTATTCGTTAACTMTGGTTCAAGTATACCGAAGTCCTCCAGAAAACTCACAAAAAATGAATGTAAGCTGAATACTAAGAGAATAAGCTTAAATAAAGTCACACAACATGAAAAGAAGCTTTTGTTTAATTGCTCTAGCGGGGTTTATAAAGAGATAATGAAGTCGAAATATAGAGCTAGTCGGTATTTATCATTGTTTACTGCAGTACTTGTAATAGTTTGATATGTCTCTACAAGACTACAAGACCCATATGCCAAATTATTGTAAATTTTAACTGAGTACAGACATAGAGAAGAACCCTGGTCCTGCTTCATTGTACATTGATCCTAGCAAAACCATAACAGTACCATATAGCCAAGGTAATGAACTGGTATTTGGACAAAATTCTGGACAACAGTTACCCTGGGCTCCAGAGGTTCTATTCGCTTTTCCCGGAACATTGAACGAGGCTATTCGTCAACACAGTAAATGCCGGAGCGAGAATGTAATAACCTCTGAGCCCCAGGGTAGACAACAGTGTGTTGCAATGAGTTTGTGCTCTTTGATTTACAATAACAAGCAAGGAGCTAATTCTACCAATGACCTCATGTTAATTATGGATATTGGAAATCAGTTGTATTCAAGTTTATCTCAATTAGCCAGACAGTCCTTTTTAATGCACTCAGAACTACCACCAATGTTAAATGTGTTTGACACTGAGTATTAACTTCAATACAGTGAAAGCTACACTAGCACTATACATCAAGAGCACCATAGAAGGATATCAGTACTGTACTTCTTTGCAAAGAGCCTTTGAATCACTTATAGCTGAGAACTACACCAATCTTGTGATAACAATAGGGAGTACTGCAGTTGCTATCTATTGTAATGGTAATGTGGGATCAATATAGTTGATTCTCATGCAAGAGATTTATATGGGAGAAGTCATGCCCAAGGTACATGTGTGCTGCTTGAAGTATTGTCTGGTAAAAAATCCTGATTGCCTTCCCTCAACATTTCTAGCTCGTGTGATTTACAAGGACAAATATCTTTTCGAAAGTCTAACAGACATTGCATCTAAAAGGATGACAATGTTAACAAAGAATTCTTTAGATTTTCTGCTATGAAGCCTGAGTTCATGCAGATATGCGTCTAGTCTTATAATATCAATGTTATACTACTACGACAGTACTGGTATTAGTATACTATAACGAGAAGAAGCACTTATGTTAATTTTCTATATATTAACGTGGTGTACATGTGTTCTATCAACTTTTATTCATTAAAATGTGCTCGATTTAGTCAGATCATAGCATTATGCACAATTCCACGAATAAGCTCCCCCTTAATGTGTGAGGCGCTTATTCGGGGGAGGTGCTTATACGCTGGATTGGCTGTATAGTTTGAAATTATGTGTGAAAAATCCAAAAAAGTATATGACATATATAAAGAAGAATTGTAATAATTTCAAGATTTTTAAATGTAAATAATAAAAGGAAAAACTGTAAAAAAAATTTTTTCCTAATTCTTAGGGGAAAAATGTTAAATTTAATCTTGACGTTCTTTCAAAAATTCTGGGAACCAGAAATTATTTAAGTGATGATGTGGCCATTATATTGTAAAACTAGTTTTGGTATTGTCAAGAATTTCTTCACCATAAAATATTGTACAGAAAACTAAAATTAATTAAGTATCAATTTTGTAATAATTGAGTCTAACATAAAAAGTCTTAATTAATTAAATTAATTTACCTTCTTGGGAAGATTTTAGAGAATCTCTATTCTTGGTCAATGCTCTTTTCTCATCTTGATTCATAGCATTATTACGGAAGCAGGCCATTTGCTTTTTCTTAAGGAAGTAGGTCACCACCAATGATCCCACTACCACACATCCAGCAATAATTGTTGAGATAATTATGATATTCCTGGAATGGTTGGAATCTTTGCTTTTTGGCTGCCCATTCCTTCCTAAAGTGTCAGGATCAGTATGTTTAGTTGTGTTTCCATGTGTTTCCCTTTGAGTTTTTTGGCCTTCTGTTGGTGTATTCTTGGGGCTGGTTGTAGTCCCAGGTAATTGGGTTGTCAGGTTTGCTGTATCTATCTGTCGAGGAGTGGTCTTGAATGAGGGGTCCTGAACACATTCATCCACAGCATGGCTCATGATGTACCCTACTCTGCACTTGGTACTACAGTTGGTATCACTGTTGGGTGTGCACTTGCGTAGGGTTTCTCTGCCATCACACTGATGACATGGTTCACAGGAGGCGATGCTGTGTTCCTTAGAATAGCTAACACCATTGGGGCAGGGTTTGCACTTTATTATGGTACCAGTCGAGTATCTTCCACCACATGGGCGAGTTGGCCCAAATCCTTCTGGGCATGATATGCACATCTTGCAAAAACAGCCCTCTGGTGGGTCCAAGCTTGAACATTTCTCTACTTCCTCTGTCTTACATTTTCCACTTCCTGGCATGGCACACAGTCCAACAAGCACAAGAACTGTATATACGGCCTATGAATAACGATGACATTAATTTTAGTGAAAAAAATAATTGAATTTCAAAAACTCAAGGAAAAGGAAGGAAGAAGAAAAATACTAAAAAGAAGGGAAAAAAAGAAACAAAGAAAGAGAAAAGGAAAAAAA